AGCTTGTACATGAGAATAAATATACAAGCTTGACCACAACACGCACTCTAAAGCCTTCGCAAATCGGGGTATATGAACCCAACATCCTACGGATATCCACGAACGCCAGAAAAGTGCGACAAGTGGCATGCACCAAATGATTGAATTTGAACCTGACTCTGACACTTCGCCCCGCTCTTAGCCGACCCGCGCACCCATGCGAATAGACGGTGTCTAGCATCCAGAGGGACCCATGACGCGCTTGAGCCAAAATGGCTGCGGAGGAGGAGGAAGACGAGGAAGACAAGGAGGAGGAGGAGGAGGAGGAGGAGGAGGAGGAGGAGGAGGAGGAGGAGGAGGAGAGGGGTGGGTGGGGCGGTGGGGGAGGGGGGGCGAGGACGTGGACGGGGGGGGGGCGGGAGAATGACGAGGAGGGTGGAGGAGGGCGAGGAGGTTCTGGGCCAGAACATCGACGCGGATCCAGGAGTCACCTGCCGCCAGGCGGCTCCTCTCGTCCAGGCGCCGCGGGGCGCAGGTCGGCGAGAGCACGCAGAGCCAGAGAGCGACGCAAGGCCAGCCTTGGCGCGCGTCGTGCTGGCCTGCGCGCAGCAGCTCCTGACCCCGCGAGAGTCGCTCGACCGAGAGCGCCCGCGGCGCCGCGACAGCGCCGGCCGCCGATCTCGGGTCACCTGCGGCGTGTGGTCGCCGCCGCGGCGGCACGCCGCGGGCCCGCCGTACTCGAGGAGGGAGGGAGAAGGCGACGGGTCCTGAGGGCAACGGGGCCTGGCCGCCCCCCCAGTGGTGAGCCGAAGTGCCACCACCACTGCCCTTCGGCATGAGAGGGAGGAGGAGGAGGAGGAGGAGGAGGAGGAGGAGGAGGAGGAGGAGGAGGAGGAGGAGGAGGAGGAGGAGGAGGAGGAGGAGGAGGGGAGGAGGGACGAGGAGGACGAGGAGGGAGGAGGAGGAGGAGGAGGAGGGGAGGCGGAGGAAGAGGAGGAGGAGGACTCTGAGAGAACCTCCCCATCCTCCCTCCTCCCCATCCTCCCCCCTCCCCTGGGGGGAGAGCGCCGCCAGGGGGCGCTGTCCCCCAAGGACCACAAGCCTGCCGTCCCGAGCCGTTCTGGCGCCGGCCCCTGGGCCCGGGGGAGAGGGCCCCTGGAGGGCCCAGGAGCGGCGAAGCTCCTCCCTCGGAACCCGTTTCCCGCGGGCCCGCCTGCCGCGAACAGAGGGGCGGGGGTTGGTGGTCCTCATCCCCCTCCTCCTCTTCCTACTCCTCCTCCTTCTCCGTCCCTTCTTTTGCTTGGCTGCAACCAACTTCCTGCAGTCCGGCTTATTCTCTTCCTCTGCCTCCTCCTCCTCTCCTCCTCCCCTCCTTTTCCTCCTCCGGTCCTCCTCCTCATACTCGTCCTCTCCCTCCTCATCCTTCCCTTTATCTCCTCATCCTTCTTACTTCCTTTCTCCTGTTCTTCCTACTTCCTCCTCCTCTTCCTCCTTCCCCTTCCTCCTCCTCCTCTGCCTCCTCCTCCTTCCTCCTCCTCCTCCTCCTTTCTCGTCTCATTTCCTCCATTTCCTCTCATTCATATTCATTCCTCCATTCCCTCCTCATTCCTCCTCATTCCTCCTCATCCTCCTCCTCCTCCTCCTCCTCCTCCTCCTCCTCCTCCTCCTCCTCCTCTCCTCCTCCTCCTTCTCATCATCAGATTCCTGTCTCCAACTCCCTGCTCCCCATCGTCATCTCCTTCCAGCACGGTGGCGCCTGTGCACGGTGGTCGCTGCAGCAGGGGAGAAAATAGATCCCGAGCAGAGCTTCACGCACCACGACCACGACGAGGCCGGCGACGACGGAGTCGAGACTCGCTCGAAGCAATGATGCGGGAAAAGGGGCCACCCTGCGAGGCTTGCACAAAGCACATCGCTGAGCTTAAGGAGAAGGAAGGCAGACAAAGACTGGGGAACAAACAATGACATAAGCATAAACTTTCTAAGGCCCGCACGGATCTCTTGGATCGGCGCTGAACCCAACCTGGAGACGACTCAGGCGCCGCCCAGGGGGACCTCACGCCGATCCAAGAAACCCGCGCGGAGCTCCGAAAATTCATGCTGATGTAATCGATTGCTCCCCGAGGAGTCCGCTCAAAACCGGTCCCGGAATCCCTCCCTGGGTCCATGTGGTGCAGTGTGTCACCCCGGATCCAAGTCTGACGGCCTCCGAGCCCGGAACGGGCTCCCGGAGGTCGAGCTTGAGGGGTCCACGACCCCTTGTGTGAGAAACTTGCGACAAACTTTCTTCTCACGCGCGTGCAACACTTCCCTGGTGCTTGCCTGCATCCACTACGTCCTGCGCTTGTTTTACAAGCGCAGAGGAAGCCCTGTGGCACTACTTCCTGCACGTCCCGCTGATCCTCTTCCTCCTCTCCTCCTCCTTCTCCTCCTAGTCCTCCTTGTCCTCCTCCTTGTCCTCCTCGTCCTCCCTCCTCCTTCCTTCTTCCTTCCTGTTCCTCCTCGAACATAATCACACTCCTGACTCCACAATCCTTCTCACCATCGTCGTCTCCCTCGGGCACGGCGGCGCCTATACACGCGTGAAGAATCCGACGCGAGCAAGATGGTTCCCCCCCTGGCGGCCGTAGACTCATGAAAATAATTACGTGCCCCGCGCGCTCAAGCGCCAGGCGCATGCTGGCCCCCCCTTCCGCGTACGCGCCTCAATTCGGTTCCCCGCCTGGCGGCCCTGGACACGTAGAAGCACGTGCCCGCGCGACAGCGCCAGGCGTATGTTGCCCCCCCCCCTCCCCTCCGCGCCCGCATTCACCTGTGAAGAATCCGGCGCGCCCGAGTTGGGTTCCCCCCCAGGGGCCGTGGACACGTCGCTCGTACCAGGCCCGCGAAAAAACGTGCCACTCGGGCAGGCGCCAGGCGCAGTGTTGGGCCCCCGCCCCTCGGCGCACGCAGTTTCGTTTCTGGAAGAAGCCGGCGCGCCCGGGTTGGGTCCCCCCCCCCCTGGGGGCTCTGGGGGCCGTGGGCACGTGAAAATATGTGCCCCGCGCGCACGCGCCAGGCGCGTGTTGCATGCATGTTGCCCCCCCCCCCCCCCACACGCCCAACTTTGGTTCCCCTCTGGGGGCCGTGGGCACGTGAAAAGATGTGCCCCGGGCGCGCGCGCGCGCCAGGCGCACGTTGTGTCCCCCCTCCGCGCCCGTACCTTGCTGGGGGCCGTGGGCACGTAAAAATACGTGCCCCGCGCACGCGCCAGGCACATGCTGGGCCCCCCCACTTCCGCGCGCGAATTTGTATGGGGACCGAGGACACGTAACAATACGCACCCCGCGCGCACACGCCAGGCTCATGTTGGGTCCCCCCCTCTGCGCACACAGAATTCGGCGGGCTAAGTTGGGCCCTTCGCCTGCAACCCCGTCGTGGCCAGAAACGTGTAAACGTACATACCAAACGCACGCGTCCCGAGACTCATGTTGGAGACCTCCACCCTCTGCACACGTCTTCTCTACGTGTCCAATTCTGACGCCTGCTGCTCGACACCCTTCTGGTGTAGGGCATCTGGCCCGTAAACTCAAGTAGAACCCTGGGCCGCAGCCCTTGTCGGGCACTAAGGGAGAACCCGGGAGCGGAGCCCTCACCAGGGGCCGTGGCACGCGAACATACGTGCCCTGAGCGCATGCGCCGGGCGCATGTTTGGGCGCCCCCGCACCCACATTGACCCCCCCACCCTGGGGGCCCGTGGACACGTGAAAAGGCACGCCCCGCGCGCACGAAACAGGCACATGGTGAACTCCCTTCTCCTCGCACGTACAGGGCAGTTTTTCAATACATAGGAATTCCAAAAGCATAGGATTTAAATACATTATTAAATGTATGCATGAAACCATCGTTGTGTTCAATACTAAATCCCTGTATTTTTTAATACATGATCCGCACGCGGAGCACGTATTAAAAACTGCACCGTATTGTTTGACGCGTGAAGAAGAATCTGGCAGGCGAAAGTGGGTCCCCTCTCTGGGGGCCGTGGGCACGCGAAAATAGTTGCCCCGCGCGCACTCGCCAGGCGTAGGTTGGGTCCTCTCCTCTCTGCGAACGTATCTTCTCGTGGGCCTCGGACGCATGAAACTACGTGCCCCCCGCGCTCAAGCGCCAGGCGCATCATGGTTCCCCCCCCCTCTGCGAGCGCATCTGACGCGTAAAGAACCCGGGGGGCTAAGTTGGGCCCCTCGCTGGGGGCCGTGGACCCTCGACAATATGTTTTGCGGCGCGGACAAGGGGGTGGAGGGAAGGGGGAGGGTTTCTTAGAAGGCGGCTGCTTCTTAGAAGGCGCCGGCCTTACATCTAATGATAAGGCCCGCGCCTTCTCAGAAGCAGGGGTGCTTCTAAGAAGCCCCCCCCCCTCCCCCCACCTCCCTCTGCGCGTGGCTGGTAGATGCCCCGCGCGCACGCGCACGTCTTTGCACGTGCGAGGCCTTCGGCGGGCCTGAAGTTGGGCCCTTCGCCTGCGGCCCCTTTCGTGGCCAGACACCCGCAAGTAGAACCACGCGCCCAACGCACGCGTGCCGAGACTCATGTTTGAAGGGGCCCCAGGACACACAAATAAACACACACACATAAAACAATTCCCCATATTTTCCCATGACTTTTGGGTTGTCGCCCTCCCCCCCACTTCCCATATTTTCCTATATTTTCTGGGGAATCGACGATGACTTGTGTCTGTGTGTTCTTTTCCCTCCTGACTGTTGGAGGCCCCCCCTCTCCGCACACGCAAACTTGCGTGTCCAACTCCGACGGCCGCTGCTCGACACCCTTCTGGCTCGGGGCCCCTGGCCCCTGGCCCCTGGCCCGCAGACTATAAGAGAACCCTGGGCCGGAGCCCTCGCCAGGAGAAAGGCCAACGACCTTCCCGAACCCACGAGCTCCAACCTCGCCCACGCCCCCCCCCTCCTGCTGGCCAGAGCTATTGCAGGACCACCTCAGACCCCAGCCGGCTCCATAGTCCCAAGGCGGCGGCGGCCAGCGACGGCGCCTCCTCCCGCGCTGGCGCGACGGCGGCTCGCCGGCGTCGCCACCGCTGCCCAGGCGCGGCCGCGCAGTCCAGGGTTCGCTGCCAGGGGCCTCTGCGCTCCCGTCGCTGTCGCCGCCGCCGCAGGAGCCGTCACCGCCGACGTCGTCGTCGTCGTCGCCGTCGTCGTCCTCAGCTGGCGTCGTCCTCGTTGCAGTCGTCGCCCTCGCCGCAGTCTTCGCAGCCGCCGCTGTGGTATCGCCGTCGCCGCTCGCCGTCGCCGCCGTCGTCGTGGCCATCATCGCCGCCCTCGTCGTCCAACTCGTCGTCGACCGCGGCCTCCGCCTTGACATTTCCCCCCTCCTCCTCATCCTCCTCCTCCTCCTCCTCCTCCTTCGTAGCCATTTTGGCTCAAGCGTGCCTTACTGGTCAGGTCCAGTGAGCTGGGGCCCAAGCTTTCTCCGCGGGCCTCCAGGAAGCCCAACTTCTTTCACAAATCCTTATTTCCGCTGCATTCGCCTGCAGCCCAAGTGCATCCTGCTGCTTATCCTAGGATTGGCTGTGCCAGGGCGATGGCCAGGAACGGCAAGAAAGGATCTCAGCCACGGCATCGTCGCGAGTACCTCGTATGCAGCAGCCCTCACTGTTCGGGCTGGGACTGGTACGAACAGAGCAAGCTCTGCAGCAAGTGTGACAAAAATTATCAAGGTAGAGGCAGATGCAGAGGCGACAAAGGTCCCTCTCAGCCAGCTCCACCTTCGGGCGCCAATCGGTGGAACGGCGGGAAGCATGCAGCCAGGGGCAGTCGGGGGAATGGCAGGCGGGAGCATGACGCGCAGCCTCGCACCGACACCAGCCCGACCCATACCGGCAACGACCTCGACGTCAGTGCGTACCGGGACCTGGTTCAGTTCTGGCAGGAGCGAGGAGGCGTCGGAGGCAACAACTACGAGGCGGCGGCCGCGAAGCTCAAATCAGTCAAGCAGTCCTTCTCAAGGGGAAGCCTCTTGATCAGCAAGCACAGTCTCAGCGAGACCAGATCGAGCGCACCAAGGAACGCATCAACAAGTCAGAGTCCCAGGCCACAGAGAAGCTGGATTAGCTCACCACTCTGGCCGAGGAGTACGCGGACTTACAGAATAACATCGCCACCATGCAGGAGGTTGTGCAGCTGGAGGCCCAGCACGCAGTCAGTCCACTCAGCGGCTGCGGCGACACCACGTCAAAGGTGCAGAGTCCGTTCCCTAAGCTCAACCAGTGCATGTTGCAGTTGGCAGCGGGCCCAGTCTCAGACGTACCGGTCCACATTCAGCAGCAAGTTCACACGCTGGAGCAGAGCATCGCATCCGCGTTCACAGGCCTGGTGGCAGCGTCGCAGGAGACGCAGCCCACGCTAGCGGGCAGCGCAGCAGCGGTGGATGCGCCGCCAGCGCCGCCAGCGGCCAAGGAGGAGCCCGACGGCTTCCCCCCGATCGGCGGCAAAGAGGATGATGACGAACCGCAGCACCAAGATACTCGGGAGCGGCCAAGAGGGGGGTGTCCAAGATGGGGGGTGCAAATCATGACCGGCGGCTTTTGCGCGGCCCAGGGGGGGGGCAGGGACGTAACGAAATAAGAAGAGGCGCCATAAAATCTGGGGAAATATCATGGCCCGCGCCATGATATCCACCCCCCCCCTGGTCATCACCCCCGTCTTTGCCGCCCCCGAGATACGACCGCCATGGACGACTCGGCAGTCGACACCACAGCCATGCAGAGACGAGGCTGCACAGCGAGGCGGCGGCGCTGGGGCAGGCGCTGGGCCAGATCGCAGAGCAGGCCTCGGGCCAGGACCCCAAGAGGACCAAGGTAGCGCTCGCCAAGGCCAAGGAAGCGGCTGAGGCAGCCAGCAAAGGCGGGTCAGCGTCGCAGTCATCACCGTATGAGGGTTACACCGAGCAGACCGAAGTCATCACCATCAAAGGCAGCTGTTGGAACTCGGCACAAGGTCTAGTCCACTCCCAAGAAGTTCAGGACTCTTCGGTCAGATTCGCTCATGAGCTGAAACTCCGAGGGGACAAAGTGGGTCAAACAGTGCAATGGCGTGAAGTGCGAGGCTGGCATACAATATTATCAGATTGCGACGCCAGCGACAACGGTTACAACAGCAGCGGCACATGCATTCTCATTCGCAGCGGCCTCAACATCAAAGTTCAACCTGTTGCGCTACCAGGCTACATTCCATCAAGCAGGGCCGCTGCTGCCATATTAGAGCTACCAGGTCATAAGCCAATAGTTGCTGTGTCCATGTATGTCGAAGCTTCGGCAGGCCTGAACACAACAACATTGTACCTGTTGGCCACAGCAGGATGGTGCCAGCAGAAAGTTCGCATTCCAGCTCATGTTGGAGCCAGAAAGGGAGGCGACGGAAGCCACGGGTGGCGACACCCAAGTTGACCAAGTGAAACTGGGCCTGCGAACATGCGGTAGCGATACACGTCCAGGAGCGTTTAGGGGACGTGACGCGGACGTTAAACAGCCCAGCCCAACAGAGAGGACGCTCGCCGCGAGTGGTCCGACCTGGCCCGCGGAGCACAAACTGCAACATTGACCATCGTGCCCAGGCCCAGTGCCAGCAATCATGCCCAGGCCCCCGACGGAGGCCAGCAATCATGCCCAGACACACAGACCAGCAATCAGGTGTGATGCCAGAAGGGTGGTCCTGGGGTCCAGCGACCGCCGCAATTGGAACGGCCCGAACTCGGTACGGTGCGCCGCCCGGCCACGGTAATGCCGCAATTGGAACGGCCCGAACTCGGTACGGTGCGCCGCCCGGCCACGGTAATGGAATTGCGTGGTGGAGCACCTTTGGGCCCCATTCCGGATGCAACTCCCCGCAGAGTCGCTCTGCAGACGCTGCGGTCGGGCAAGGACCCCGCAGCCACGGCCGTCCAGAGCGGCGTCAGGGGGTGAGCGCTGGCGCGCCGCCCGCGGCCCCCAGCCTGCGCCAGGTGCCGCTCACTCCGTTGCCAGGAGTGGCCTCATGCAGCAGGTTCCGCAGCGGTGTCGATCGATGACCAAGGGGACCTAGCAGGAGCGATCTACGGCCCTGTAGGAAAGAGACTCCCTCATACCTCCCCCTCTGCTGAGCACCTTGCCGTGCTTGCTGCCACCACGCTCGCTCCTCCTCGATCGATCACCCAAATAACCACTGATTGTCAAGGCATTCTAGATGTTCACCATTGACAGCGGTATTCTTGGAAGCATCAATATTCAGGAGTTTCCATGCTTACAAAAGGCAGCTGGGGCTGGCATGATAACATCGAGTGCGTGAAGATTAAAGCGCATCAAGATCGGGAAGCGATCCCCAAGGGATCCACGCGGTGGCTAGATGCCACGGGCAACGATGTTGCTGACAAGTTTGCCAAGCTCGGTGCGCAGTGTTTGCGTCGTCCGTCTACCGCCGAAGTCGAGCAGGCGGAAACGCAACACAAACTTCTCAAGAAGTGGCTAGTCTACACGTCGTTCATGTCTAATCGAGCTCATTTCTAAGTGTGCTCGTTTCTAATTGTTCCTGGCCCGAGACAGGAGACTTAGGAATGAAATGATCCTGGCCCCCAACAAAATCAAAAAACTTTCGAATACTTAGAAATGAACAACGTCTACGTTGCCCAAGGCCCTGGTTTGTGGGAGCCAGTCGGCCCCGATAGCAGCAGGAAGGCCCTCACGTCTCGACACAAGGGTGCCACCCAGCCGGTCGCAGCTGGAGCGCGTGGCACCCTATGCCGAGACTTACAGACCTCACGCAGGATCCCAACGACCATGCGCTGCACATCTCACCAGAACTCCGAGGCACGAACTATAGTTTGGCGTGCTCGAAGTGTGGGCTCTACAGCGACTCGGATGCGAGAGGTCTGAGCGGGATGTGCGGGAATGAGTTCAAGCGACCAGGCGCTCGAACTCAGTGGGATCTGCTCTGCAAGGGTCGGCACCCCAGAAACAACTTGTCCACTCCCTCCGTATAATTGCCCCCCGCAACGGCTGGCAGATTTCTTGTTCCGTCAGCGCCAGGAGGCCATGTCCCAACAGGAGGACACCAGGCCATAGGGTGGACGAACTTCCGCCTCAAACCACGTGCTGATCCTCCTCCTCCTCCTGCTTCCCCTCCTCCATTCCTTCTCCTTACAACGAATTTCTCACTGTCGCACCCCGAGGCCCGTTTTTAGGGCGGGCTGGGCGTTTCGCCTGAGACGTCCTCACAATGTATGACTCCGATGGAGGGCGGGTGGTTTTCAAAATGTGGCTCTCGCCTTAGCGCCGCACACACTTAGTTTTTGTGTAACCATGTGCAAGAATTTCAAGGATTGAGGGTGGGTGGTTTTCAAAATGTGGCTCTCGCCTTTGCGCCGCGTACATTCGTTTTTTTAAATTGCAAGGGCTCCACGGAATGAGGGCGGGTGGTTTTCAAAATGTCGCTCTCGCCTCAGCGCCGCGCACATTCGCTTTAGTTTGTTTGCAAGAGTTTCACGGATGTCCATCATCATCGTACCAGAAATGGAGCTTTGGAAGGATTCCGGATTATGCGGGCGCAGCAGTTATGTTGATTCGCGGTGTTGAAGTCCCCAAAAAGGCGCTCTGGCACGATTCCAGATCGTCAGGACGCAGCAGTTAGGTTCATCCGTGGCGTGGAAATCCCGAGAACAATGTTTTGGCATGCTTCAAGGTATTCAAAAGGTTGTCTTCCAACAAGGCAGATCCCCCAAGGGAAATGAACCCTTGTAGGGGCCCATGAAGAGGAACTTGGAGGGAGGGTTCATTCCAACATCTTTGGTGATTTTTGGGTTGCATGGAGAAGCAGCTCACGTTAGTGATGCACTATGACGGTTGATTTCGCAGGCGCTGGTCTAACATGAGATTGAGGCAATTGCCATCGAGTGCCGTATTGTCGCCATTCCCCGCTTTGCTGGTTTGCTTCTGGACCAGGGCTCCTGGGACCTGGCCCCGGCCGAGGCCTAACGGCCAAGAAGGCCCGCAGGACAGGAGTCTGGCTTATCCTGAGGCACGGAGTCGGCATGGACTCCACCCGAGGCTCTCCGTGTCCTGCGCCGCATCTAAAGATTTCAGCCCACGCCACGTGCGCAACGGGGCGGATCTGGCTTCGTCCGTTCCGGATCGGGTCGTGCTGCCGCACGCAAATCTTGCGCTGCGCTGCTGCGCTGCTGCGCCCTCGTCTCCAACTTCCTTTCGGCTCCGCCGCTCTGCCCCCATGCGCTGGATACGCGTGTTGGTCTGGCTGACGATGTGAGGTTTGAGGAAAAACGACAGGCTTTCATCCCTCTTCCGATGTTGTGCCCTGCCCGTGGAGTTCGACGGCCAGTCCCCCGCGCAGGCAACTAACAGTTGCGTCTGCCAGCGCGTGTGGCTCCCCGAGCTAGCAAGATGAATGGGGGTACAGATGAGTTGTATCCCCCCCAGGTTCTGAGAATGAGACTGGTGAGACATTGAACTGAATGTGTGAGAGCGAGCGAGCCCGCCTTCCCCCCGTCGTCCTCCTCGCCGCCAGTCCTCCTCGCTCTCCTCCTCTTCCTCCTCCTCCTCCTCCTCCTCGTCCTCATGTTCGTCGTCGCTGTCCTCCTCGTCCTTGCCGTCCACGTCGTCAGCCACGTCATGGGTGATCCCCCAGGCCCCCGATGTCATCATGTCCCCGCAATGTCTACCCCCAGAACAATGGACCCTTTACCCTGGACCTGCGTCTCATCCCGAGCCGTGCTGTTGACGGCCCCTGGGAGCCGTGAGAGGCCGGTGAAGCCGAAGACGGCTAAACACCTTCCGTCGTGGGTTTGTTGTCTCGCGACGCGAGGGGGCCTGGGCCCGCAGGGCAGAATCGACCCCCAGACCCATCCTGGGTCGCGGCCTGGCCAGGATCTCGAGCCGGCTCCAGCCATGGCGGCGAGACCTCCAGGAGGGCGAAAGGCGTCCGAGGGGACCTCGGCCTTCGAGCCTCGAACCTCCCACTGCCAGGGCGCGCTGCCCAACGGCAAGTGTGGCTCAGCACCCGCCAGCGGCCGCTGCCGGGCGGGCGACATGCTGCCTGGAGTGGACACCGTGCGCGGCGACACCGAGAGCGACCCCCGCTCTGAGTGGGCGGCAACGGCCGTCGGCCTTCGCCCCCGCACGATTGTCCGCAAGACCACGTGGCGGGCCCCGGCAGCCCTGCGCCACACGTGCTGCCATCGGTTTGCTGGTGTGCGCCTGCTGCCTCCGCGGGCTCCCGCGGGCGGCCACGCGTGCCGCCGGCGCGAGAGGAGCGAGACATCGCAGGACACCCAGACCCCGGCAGTGGGCCGAGACCCCGCCTCCCGGCGGCATCTTCCTTCCTGGGGGATCCAGGTCTGTGAGCAGGGGGCAAACAAACCTACCTCGCTTTTGGACCACCCTTGCTTCCAAGAGATACCAAGCGATGCCAAACTACGGCCTGTACTGGTCAGGCCGCTCGACGAGGAGGCGCGTGGTATGACTTGGTTTTGCCTGGAAGCGAAAGCGGGGTAGGTAATTCACGCGCTGAGTGAGGGCCCCCCGGCCCAGAGACTGGCGGGAAAAAAACACGGAGACGCCAGGATCTCAGGGTTCCGCCGGCTCCCGCCGGTGGATCCGCCGCCGCTCTACTTCTGGCGGCCTCCCGCCAGGGAAGAGGGAGGAGGAGAATGAGGAGGAGGAGGAGGAGGAGGAGGAGGAGGAGGAGGAGGAGGAGGACCAGTGTAAACCCAAGACCCACCAACGATGTTGGAATATACCCTCCCTCCGAACTCCCTCTTCATGGGCCCCTAAAAGGATGCATTCCTGTTGAGGGAAGTACCCCGTTGGGAGACTCCTTATTAAAGATCCTGAAGCGTGCCGAAACACCCTTCTCATGATTCCAGCGCCATGAAACAACCTGACTGCTGCGTTTTGGCGATCCTGAATCATGCCAGAGCACCATTCCTGGGACCTCAACACCGAGAATCAACGTAACTGTTGCGCCGTGACAATCCTGAATCGTTCCAACACGCTCCTTCTGGTCAGCGAGACTCTTGCAATTTGTTGAAACGAATGTGCGCGGCGCCAAGGCGAGAGCCACATACTAAAGGACCTGCCTCCAATGCTTCAGAACGAGTGTGCGCGGCGCTAAGGCGACAACCACACCTTGAAAACGAACCGCCCTCAATCCACAAAACTCTTGCAGCGAAGGAGAGAGACATATTTTGAAAACCACCCGCCCTCGATCTGTGAAGCTGTTGCCAGTGTTCAAGCTTCAGGATCATGAATGGAAAAGGTGTCTCAGGCGAAACGCCCTGCCCGCCCTTTCGACTGGCCTCGGGGCACGACAGGGAGGAGTTATTGATAAGGGAAAGGAGCGGAATAGGAGGGCGAGGGGGAGAAGGGCGAGGAGGAGGAGGAGGAGGAGGAGGAGGAGGAGGAGGAGACGGAGGGCGAGGAGGAGGAGGAGGAGAAGGAGCCATTTCGATGCCTCGGGGACGGAGCCCTTTCTGGCGCGCCCCAGTCCCTGACATCTGCCGGCGATGATTGTTCCAGAGCGCGGCCCCAGAGGTGCATGGGCGGCTCGTCGCCCAGAATCCATCGGCGGCGCGTCCGGTGAGGAAGCGAGCGGGGGCCGGCCTCCTCAGAAGGCGCCAAGCCAGAAGGCGCCAAGCCTTCTCGGAAGCCCTGCGGCCTCTGACAAGTTCCCCGTCTTCGGGAGAGGCTCAGAACACTTCTCTGCAGGGGAACTGGGACACACAAATAAATACACACATAAAGAAGGATTCCCCGTATTTTCCCATATTTTGCGGGTTTCTGTCTTCCCCCCCACTTCCCATATTTTCCCATATTTTCCTGGGAGTGGACGATTAATTGTGTCTGTGTGTTTTTTTTCCCCTTCTCATTCTCAGCAGCCCCGAGGCCCTCCGAGCCTCCTGGGAAGGCCCAGCCGCTCACATTCCCCCCCCCGGGCTCGCCGCCTCCTCCTCCGGGGGCCCGGTGTTCGCCCCGAGGACCCGTCTTCTTCGGGGACCTCTCGGGGCCCGAGGAACGGTCCCCTGGAGGTCGACGTCGAGTCGCCATCGCTCTGACGTCCATTCCCTGTGCTTTTTTCGGTTTCGTGCGTGGTTTTTTCGCCAAATGATCAAGGATGCTCCTCGATGGTCCTCGCCGAAGGACAAATATGCACACGTCCGAGCGATGCCAGGTCGAAGGAAAAACGCCCGAGATGCCGCAAAATCAGGTCGTCCGTCGTCGGAGCTCCAGGTCCCCATCGCACCGATCCGATATATAAAATCGCCGCGCCGCCGCCCTCCGCCCCATCGCCCACGGGGCCGCTGGCCTGCAGCCCAGCGCTCGTCCGGCTCGTCGCCCGCGGCATCCCACGTCGTCGTCCACGTCGTCGTGGTCGTCGTGGTCGTGGCCTTGGCCGTGGCCTTGGCCGTGGTCTTGGTCGTGGTCGTGGTCGTCGCCGTCGTCGCCGCCGCCGCCGTCAGTCTTCCTCGTTGTCGTCGTCGTCGCCGTCGTCGCAATCGTCGCAATCGTCGTCGTCGTCGTCGTCGTCGTCGTCGTCGTCGTCGTCGTCGTCGTCGTCGTCAGGGTCGCCGTCGTCGTCGCCGCCGCCGCCGCAGCCGCCGCCGCCGCCGCAGCAGTCGTCGTCGTCGGCGGCGGCGGCGGCGGTGGTGGCGGCGGCGTCGAGTCGTCGTCGTCGTCGTCGATGTCGTCGTCGTCGTCGTCGTCGGCGGCGGCGGCGGCGGCGGCGGCGGTGGCGGCGGCGGCCTGCGGCCCGGCGCTCGTCCAGTGCCCCTCGGGCGCCGCCACGGGCGGCTGCGAGAGCGCCGCGCCAGACCTCGGCGAGCGCCGGCGTCGGAGGGACGCAGAGAAAAAACTGCGCACGACGTCGGACGACGACGAACGACGTGACGCGACGACGTCGGACGACGACGACGTGGAAAGGGAAATGTGGGAGGGACGTGATTGGAGATATGGCGCGAGCGCGCCCAGTTTCTCGTCGTCGGCCTCTTCCTCCAGGGGCCCAGTGGGGGGCGGCGAAGGGCGGGGAAGACGGCGAAAACGAGGAGGAAGAGGAAGAGGAGGAGGAGGCGGAGGAGGAGGAGGAGGAGGAGGGAAGGGAGCCACGACGACAAGGCCGTGGGGGAGTTGAAGGGGTGACTGCGAGACGGAAGAGGAGGGACGACGTGGAGAATACCAGGATGAGAGACGACGAGCAGAATACCAGGAGGGACAACGAGACAAATGAGGAGGAAGTAGAAAAGGGGTAAGGGGGAGAGGAGGAGCAGCAGCAGGAGGAGGATAATGAGGTGGTGGAGGTTGGCGGAGCAAGGATGAGGAAGGAGGACGACGACGATGAGCGAGGAGGGCAAGAAGGACGAGAGGTGTAGGAGAGAGGACAAGGAAGGGCAAGGAGGACGATGACGCCAACGACGCCGCTGACACCCACAACGCTGACGGCGACGAGGAAAATGCCGACGCTGGCGCCGACGTCGACGACGCAGACGCTGGCGACGACGCCATCCAGAGGCCTGCAGAGGTATCCCGATGTCTTCAGACTCTGGAGACACCCCTCGGCCCCTGGGAGGCCTCCAGAGGCCAAAGATGTGGTCCGGAACGGCGCCCAAAAACCTGGACACTCGACCCTCGGTCCTCGACGCCGACGACGACGCTGACGATGTCGGCGGCGGCGGTGACGACGACGACGATGCCGTCGACCTCGACTGCCTCCTGGTACCAGCACAGCCTTCGGAGAGCATCCGGAGACCTCAGCAAGCCTCCCAAGACCCTTCCGAAGACCTCCCTGCGCTGCCAACGACGACGACGACGACGAAGTCAACGACGCCGACGACGACGCCGACGACGCCGGCGCCGACTCCGATGGCGGCAGTGGCGGGGACGGACGGCGATGGCCACGACGGCGGCGACGGCGACCGCCGTACGGCCGACGTGCGCCGCCGGCAGCGACGGCAGCTACCAGACCAGTTCTGGGGCGCGTTACCAATGGAAAGCCATGCCAAGAAGCACCCTGCTTCCGAGCATTTTCTTTGGGTGGAGGGCAAAGGGTGAAATCTGAAATGCCGTTTCGACTGATTTTCGAGGCTCGAATCTGCAAAAGGTGAATCACAAGACGGATTGATTTCCGAGGTGCGAAGGCCCATATGGATTCCACCCTGAGCCCTCCACCCTAAGAAAATGCTCAGTGCTTGCCTCCAGGGTGCCCTGGGTTTCTTGGGCTTCGACGGCTCTGCTATGGAAAGCGTGCCGCGCCCACGCCGAAAAATTCAATGGGCGCTCGTGGGTCTCGGGGTCGGGTTTCTTGTGGAGGGTTCCTTGTGGTCGGGCTTTAGGTCGGGCATGTCCCCCTGCAGGCGGATTTGTGCGAACTTTGATTTTTTCTTCAACAAAAAACCTAACAACTACCAAAAAATAGTCCCCTGACTATTGTGAAACTATTTTTGCACATCCCCCAGGGACAGGCCCGACCCAAGGCGAGCTCCTATACTGTATGACCCTACTATTGGAGCGTGTCCAGCCGTGGCCCAGCGGGCGCCCCCTAGAGGCCCCGAATCCTCCCCCTGCAGCCCCCAGTGGGCCCCCGAGCATCGACGCACCAGCTTCGATCCTCGCTCCAGGACCATGCTCCAGGTGATGATCACAGCGGGCTGGAGCTACGTTCCAGGCGAGGAATCATGCTTCAAGTCCCTGACCCTGGATCCACGGAGGCGCCCCGGACAACGGCAACGGCAGCGCCGATGGCCGACGACGACGACGACCGAGTGCGGCGGCGGCGGCGCCGGCGCAGTCGCCAGGGGCGTCGTCCGCCAGCGGCGGCGGCGGCGGAGTCTCGGCTGCGTCGCCGTTCAGGGCGGCGGCGTGCCGGGGGGCCGCCTTCGGCGCTGTTGGCGTCGCCACCGGACGCGTCGTCCCCAGACATCAGACTTCGAGGCCTCTTAGATGGGGTCGGAGTAGTTAGGGACGGAGGATCGCGCCGCATCGCCGATACATCGGCGATGCATCCGCGATGCATCCACGATGCATCGGCGATGCACCTGCGATGCGTCGTCGACGTAGGCGATGCATCGGCATCGGCAACGCCGACGTGAAGCACATCGGGCTCCACATCAAGCCGCATCGCCGACGCATCGGCGATGCGGCGCGACCCTCCGACCCCATCTGCTCCGAACGCATCCAGGCCTAGAAGTCATCATTTTGGTTCTTTCACAGAGTGGACACCAAGAGAGGACCCCTCTCCCAGGACCAGTTCCTCATCCCGATTCGCTTATTGCGACGGACTCGGGGCCCGGCGAGGGGTTCTGGGGGCCGAAACTCTCCCAAAACGTCCCGTCCCGATTTTTTCCCGCCCCCAGAGGTCCCGCACCCCCGGGCAAACTGCTCGCCCCGGATCCATTCTTGAGAGCCCCGGGGCCCAGTGAGGGGCCCCGGAGGCCGACGTGGAGGACAAACGCCCGTAGACCGACAGTCACTAGACATTGTGGGCGTCGTCGGCGGCACCGCTGGGCGTCGTCGGCAGCGCGTCGGAGTCGTCGGCGGCATCGCCGGCGGCTCTACGGCCAAACATACGATCAAGAAAATTACGTTTCAAGAGACCTGGGCCAGCTTTCCTGAAGTTCTTGAGACAAGCTTGGGCCACTTGTTCGTGTTAGCGCTGGACGACGAAGGCGGTCAAGAGACTGGCTGGACCGACTTCCTGGCAAGCTGGTTAAGGAACGCCGGCCCAACTTTTCGGGAGAGGGTTCCTCAATCAGATGCTCGAGTGGTGTCTTGATGGCACCGGGGCTAGTTTTCCAGCCGCTTTTCCTTCTTCGAGTCCTCGGCGGCGCGTCGAAATCGTCGGCGGCGCTTCGTCGTCGTGGTCCTCGTGCGTCGTCGTCGTCGCCGTCGTCGTCGACGGCGGCCTCTTCGTCGGCGTCGTCGTCGTCGTGGGCGTCGTCGTTGGCGCCGCCGACGCCGCCGCCGCCATCGTTGTCGTCATCGCGGTCGTCGTCGTCGTCGTGCGTCGTCGGCGTCGTCGTCGTCTTTGGCGTCGTCGGCGGCGTCGTCGGCGGACCACGCGGCGCCCGCCGCTGCCAGGAGCGCGGCGGCCGCCGGGGCCCCGATCGCCACAGCCCTGTGCCTGGGGTGTCGCCGCCTGCGGGCGTCCGCCGTCGTCGTCATCGTCGTCGTCGTCATCGTCGTCGGTGGCGACGGGGGCGGCTCGTCGTCGTCGTTGGCGGCGGCTTGGTCGGTGGCGGGGGCGGCAGCTCCTCTTCCTGCTCCTCCTCCTCCTCCTCCTCCTCCACCTCCTCCTCCATCCTCCACCATCCCCTTCCTTCTCCTCTTCCTCTTCCTGCTCCTCCTCCTCCTCCCTTCACCAACCTCCTCCTTCCTGCACCACCCCCCGCCATCCTCCTCCTCCCTCTCCTCATCCCCCCCCCCTCTTTCACCGACGACGACGACGACGTCGACGACGACGGGCCAGGGCGGCAACGACGACGACGACGATTGGCGGCGGCGAATACAACGACGTCCACGACCAGCGGCGGCAACGCCGACCGACGGTGACGACGGCGACTGGCGGCGACGAAGAACAGTAGCAGTAGAAACCGAAAAGAGGTAGCAATAGTAGTAGTAGTCGTAGCACTACCACCAGACATCATCGCACTTGTATTTTAAAATGAAATAATTCGTATAGCAACAGTGGTGCCTCCATTACCTCAGCACTATAGCGATATCCTAACGCCACTACTCATAATACAGCTACAACTACACAGGGGACTCCTAGCACTGGTGTTATGACTGGCGGCGGCTTAGGACTTCCTCACAATTTATTCAGGAATCGCTCTCCCGGCGCTCTGGAGTCGCGCTGTCGCTGGAGACTTGCTTGCAACTTACTGAAGAATGGCCTTGCTTTGGAATTTCTTGCAATTTGCCCAAGCGCCGCGCTCCCGACACCCAGGCACCCAGGAGTCGCGCCCGTTGTGGCCCAATGTGCATGCCCTTCGTGGCCCCGCTGTCGCTATTTGTGTCCCCCTCACTGTCCTACGTGGCCCAGTTGCTACCCTCAGTGGCCCCATAGTTGCATTCTGTGGCCCCGCATTATCTGCACTTCGTGGCCCCCGCTCGTTCGCGCTCTTCGTGGTCCCACACGCATTCCCTTCGTGTCCCCGCTGTCGCCCTTCGTGGCCTACTTCGTGCCCTTCGTGGCCCTGCTGTCGTTCTCTCTCGCTCTCGCTTCGCTCGTCGTCGCCGTCGTCGTCGTCGTCGTTGTCCCCTGTCCGTCCCTCTTGGGGTCGGGTCGACGGTCCGCGGCCGCCCCGCCGATCAGCGCTGCCGCTGGCCAGGCCGACGGTCCGCGGCCGCCCCGCCGCTTGCCGGGGCCTGGCCTGCAGGGAAGAAAGGCATACCCACCAAAAATGGTTCGATCGAAGACGAAGAGGGCGGGTATCGAGGGTTTGGGAAATACGCGTTATTGGACACTCGAGCATATAAGGGCGAACGGTCTTAAAATTATTGTTGTTGTTGTTGCTGTTGTTGTTGTTGTTTATTGCTTGTTGTTTGTTGTTTGTTGTTGTCGTCGTCCCACCCGCGACCCGCCCCGCGACCCACCCGCGACCCACCCCGCGACCCACCCGCGACCCTCCCGCGACCCACCCCGCGACCCACCCGCGACCCACCCCGCGACCCACCCGCGACCCACCCCGCGACCCACCCGCGACCCACACCGCGACCCGCCCGCGACCCACCCCGAGACCCACCCCGCGACCCACCCGCGACCCACTGGCGACCCACCCGCGACGCACCCGCATCCACCCTGCGACACAACCGCGACCCACCCGGGGCGACCCACCCGCGACCCACCCTCGAACCACCCCGCGACCCACCCAAAATTCTCGGCGCCTGCAGCGGTTTTCTTTGCATTCGTTCCAGGTGGAAACCTGCGACCCACCCGCGACCCAAACCACCCGCGACCCACGCGACCCGCGACCCACCCGCGACCCACCCGCGACCCACCCCGCGACCCACCCAAAATGTTCGGCGCCTGCGGCGGGTTTCTTTTGCAGTCGTTCCAGGTGGAGAACCTGGGACCCACCCGCGACCCAAACCGCGTTCAGTGTTCAAGTCACAATGATTGGCGCCTGCGGCGGGCTGTTTTCCAGGTGGAGGCGGAGAGCCAGCGACCCACCCGCGGCCCAAACTACCCTCATTGAACAAGCCAAAACTTCGGCGCCTTCGGCGGGATTCTTTTGCATTCGTTCCAGGTGGAGAACCTGCGACCCAAACTGCGTTCAGTGTACAAATCAAAATGTTTGGCGCCTGCGGCGGGCTGTTTTTGCATTCCTTCCAGGTGGAGGTGGAGAGCCCGCGACCCACCCGCGGCCCAAACTACCTTCACTGAACAAGCCAGAACTTCGGCGCCTGCGGCGGGATTATGTTGCATTCGTTCCGACGACGACGACGGAAAGGAGGGGGGAGAACCGGGATGGGGGAGGAGAAGGAGGAGGAGGAGGAGGAGGAGGAGGAGGAGGAAGAGGAGGAAAAGGGGAGGAGGAGGAGGAGGAGGAGGAGGAGGAGGAGGAGGTGGAGGAGGAGGAGGAGGCGGACGACAACGACGACAAAGACGACGACGATGAGGACGAGGACGCGGACGAGGAAGACGAGGAGGAGAGAAGCAGGATGAGGAGGAGGAGGAGGAGGGCGCCATCGACAGGGAAGGTGAGGGCCACGAGGTCCGCTGGCTCGTCGCCCGCGTCACCCGCGCCCGCCCCCACACTCTTATCCGCAATTGCGGGGTGCAACGTAAATTCGACTCGGGATCAAAAACTTATCCCAGGGAAGAGGTCCCGATCTCCGAAGGTCCACGTTGTAAAATATAACGGCGACGGAGTTGAAGGTCCTCGTGGACCCTCCGACCCCTCCTTTTCCTTCCTGCTTCACTCCTCCTTTCTCCTCCTCCTCCTTCTCTCCTCCTCCTCCTCCTTCTCCTTCTCCTTCTTCTCCTCCTCCCCCTCCTCCCCTCCTCTTCCTCGTCTCCCTTCGTGCCTCCCCTCCTCCTCCTCCTCCTCCTCCTCTCCTCCTCCTCGTCCTCCTCCACCTCCTCTTTGGAGCCCTCGACCCCTCCTCCTCCTCCTCCTCCTCCCTCCTCCTCCTCCCTCCTCTCCTTCTCCTTCTCCTCCTCCTCCTCCTCCTCCTCCCCCTCCTCTTCCTCGTCCTCCTTCGTGCCTCCCCCTCCTCCTCCTCCTCATTCTCCTCCTCCTCCTCCTCCTCGTCTCCTCCACCTCCTCTTTGGAGCCCTCGACCCTCCTTCCTCCTCCTCCTCCTCTTCCTCCCCCTCCTCCTCCTCCTCCTCCTCCTGCTTGGAGGCCGTTCTTCTCCTCCTCCTCCTCCTCCTCCTCCTTCCTCCTCCTTCTCCCTCCTCCTCCTCTGCCTCCTGCTTCTGCTCCTCTTCTTGCTTCTCCTCCTCCTCTTCCTCCTCCTCCTCCTCCTTCTCCACCTCTTCCTCTTCCTCTTCCTCTTCTTCCTCCTCCTCCTCCTCCTCCTCCTCCTCCTCCTCCTACTGCCTGCTCATCCCCTCTGATCCCCCCCTGCTGCTCCTCTCAGCCTTCCGCCCTCCTCTCCTCCCTCCCCCTCTGGCGCGGCGCCTCCGCACCATCGCCGCCCCCGCCGCCGCTCGCGGGGATGGCGCCGCGGGCCGCGGGCCCCACGGGGCTCCCTCCCTCGGGCCCCCAAAAGCGACTGCGGTTGGCGACGTCGTCGTCGGCGGTGACGTCGTCGTCGGTCTCGTCGTCGGCAGCGTGGTTGCCGTCGTCGTCGCTGTTCTCGTCGTCGTCGTCGTTGTCGTCGTCGTCGTCAACGTTTTCGTCGTCAACGGTTTCGTCGTCGTCGTCGTCGTCGTCGTCGTCGTCGAACCCAGTCGTCGTCGTCGAACCAGTCGTCGTCGTCGTCGTCGTCGTCGTCGTCGTCGTCGTCGTCGTCGTCGTCGTCGTCGTCGTCGACCTTGTCGCTGGCGGCGGCGTCGGCGTCGTCGTCAGCGGCTGCGGCGTGTTGGCGCCTGCGGCATCGTCTCTGGCGCTATCCGACGACCACGACGACGAGGACCACGACAAGCACGACGCCGACGACGACGCGCCGACGACCACGCGCCGACGACGACGAGCGGCGGCACAGAGCGTTCGGGCTCCGCGAGCCACCGAAGGTTTCCCCAAACATCCGGCGACGTGTTCTCCAATGCGAGATTCCCCAGGATGCCTCGACCCCTGCCCTGGGGGTAGCATCTCGCCCCAAATCCCTTTGGACGGTCCCGGGGCCTGCCTCCTCCTCCTCCTCCTCCTCCTCCTCCTCCTCCTCCTCCTCCTACTCCTCCTATTAGGGGATCAAAAACATACCACCACCACCGCTGCCGCCCGAACCTCTGTCGGGGTGCGTCCTGGCCATGATTTCGAAGCGGCGTATCTGGCCGTGGCGACGAGGGCTCTCTAGGACCAGCAGCGGCACCTCATACTCTCCCTTTCCCTGCGGGCGCAATCCGTATCCACACCCACTGCGTCTTGGACTTCCTGGGAAATGGGCGCCAAAATGCCAAGGCGCAGTGGGTATTGAGAAAACTCTGGCCCCTGGGGGCCAGATTCTTATCCACATCGACTGCACCCCTGGCCTCTGTGAGGCAGGGAGTCCGGAACTCCAAGACGCGGTGGGTGTGGACACAACCCCTGCCCGCATCCCCGGAACAACGGCGCCCGACATGCCGAAACGCAGGAGCGCCCGGCGGCATTCCACCAAAGCCATCGGCGGCGACGACGACGACGACGCCGCCGCCGCCGACGACGACGCCGACGACGCCGACGACGACGACGACGACGACGAGGACGACGAGGACGACGCCGACGACGACGATGACGACGAGGACGCCGCCGCCGACGACGACGCCGCCGCCGCCGCCACGGCGGCGGCGCGCGCGGCCGGGCGGGCGGGCGGCGGGCGGCCGCGGCGGGCGGCTCGGCGGGAGGGCTCGCGGAGGGGGGCGGCGGTGCGGCTCGCCTGCGGCCGCGGGGTCCGCGCGGGGGGCGTCCTGCGGCGGGGGAGGGAGCGCCCGGGGGGGGAGGCCCGCGGCTTTGAGCGCCCGGGGAGGGGGGGGGGGGATATCGGCGGCGAGCGAGGGGGGGGGGATGGCGGCGAGCGAGAGGGGGGAGGGGGGGGGGTGCCCTGCGGCGGGGGGAGCGCGCCCGGGGGGGAGGCCCGCGGCTGTGCGCCCGGGGAGGGGGGGGGATATCGGCGGCGAGCGAGGGGGGGGGGGGAGACGGACGGGTTCGGGGCTCGAGGTCTTCTATGGCGCTCTCGACGGTGATCGGCGGTGTTCTCCCAGCCTCGGCATGCCTGCCAGCAGCTGCGCCTCGCCGCGGGCGTTCCCGGGGTGCACGGATCGCCCCGAACGCCCGCAGGAGACACGAGTCATGACCCAAAAGCCAAGTTCGGCGGCGCGCCCGGGGGGAGGTGAGAAGGTGAAGGCCTTCTCAGAAGGCGGCGGGGCTTCTCAGACAAGCCGTCACAGTTTTTTTTCGTTTTCGGGGAAGGCTCAGCCAACTTCTCAGCAGGCCGGGGGACTTCCGACGCTTCCGAGAAGGCCCTCTCCTTCTCACCTCCCCCCCTCGCTCGCTCGCCGCCGAGGGGGGGGGGGGGGAGGGGGAGGCCGGGGAGCGAGAGGGGGGAGGGACAAGCCAGGTGCGCGCCCTGCTCCTGTTTTTTTTAGGGTTCGTGCGTGTTTTTGTTCGCCAGATGGTCGAGGATGCTCCTCGAAGGTCCTCGCCGAGAAAAAAAAGGCACACGTCCGAGCGATGCCAAGGCTCCTCCTTCGGGAAGGGGGGGATGGCAGGGAGGGAGGGGCCAGGATAGCGAGAGGGGGAGGGGCCAGCCGGGTGCGCTCGCGCCACATCTGACACCCTGCTACACCTCCCAAGCGTCCCTCCCCCTCCCCTCCCCTCCCCCTCCCCCCTGCCTCCTCCCCTCCCCCCTCCCCTCCCTCCTCCTCCTCCTCCTCCTCCTCCTCCTCCTCCTCCTCCTCCTCCTCCTCCTCCTCCTCCTCCTCCTCCTCCTCCTCCTCCTCTCACTGTGCTGAGTTTTCTTCTCTGCTCGCCGACGCGAGCCACGGCGGCCCTGGAGCTCCCCCCCAAACAACAACTCGATCGTGGCGTGCGCAGTCGGGGAAGGGCATTTGTGCACAGCGGAGGAGGAGGAGGAGGAGGAGGAGGAGGAGGAGGAGGAGGAGTTGGCGGATGAGCAGGAGGATGAGCAGGAGTAACAAAAAGGACGACGATGAGGAAAGAGGAGGATAAGGACGAACCGCAACCGCAGGAACTGGAGTGGAAGGAGCGGGAGACTGAGGAGGCCCAGGGGAAGGCGGCGCGGCGGAGGAGGGGAAAGGAGGGGGACGACAACGATGGGGAAGGACTCGGACTCAGAAACGTGGCCCGCGCGTGGGCAAGAGAGCCCTTCTGAACGACGGGCGCAAAGCCCATACGGTGAACCCGTATAATAGGGATGCGCGGTGAGGATACAAGGGCCTTGGAGGACCATGTCAACGTTTGTTTTGTCCAACGAGGTTGGCCAGCGAGAGTTACCAAGGATAGGCCGAAGGGGCAAGGATGAAAGGGTAGCCTTGGAAAGTCGTTCATCCTTACTATGCGGGTCGAGTGCATCCTAAGATGAGGCCCGCGCTGCAGCGGGAGAACGGTCGAATGGGGAAACATACAAGAAAGCTCGACAAAGCAGTTCGGGCCAATACTGTGCGCAAAGCAATGCGCGGAGGGAGGGCGCGCCGCTCTCGAGGACATCGTCGGGGAGGAGAAAGGAGTGTGGCACGCACAGTGAGTAATTGAGTAGGGGGAGGAGGGTAAACGGGCGAGGAGGGTGGATGGATCGAGGGAGGAAGGGAGGGAGGGAGAAGGAGGAGGAGGAGTCTGGGGGAGCGATGAGGAAGGCCAGGAGAAAGGGGAGAAGGAGGGGGATGAAGGAGAAGAAGGGAAGAACGGATGAAGCAGTTGGGCGAGGAGAAGGAGGAGGAGGAGGAGGAGGAGGAGGAGGAGGAGGAGGAGGAGAATGAGGAGGAGGAGGAGGAGGAGGAGGAGGAGGAGGAGGAGGAGGAGGAGGAGGACGAGGTGACGACCGGGGATGAGGAGCCAGGAGCTACAATTTGGAGAGGGGTGACGCCCTCGGGCGCCCTCGTCGCCTCGTCGTGCCTTCGATCGTCGTTGTGGTCATCGTCGTCGCCGTGGGGATTCGCGCCGTCGCCATCGCCGTCGCCGTCGATCCTCGCCGTCGCTGTCGACCTTCGCCGCCGCCGATGGCGTCGCCGTCTCGTCGTCGGCGTCGCCGTCGCCGCCGAGCGCCCCGCCCATCGTCGATCGATCGGCGGCGGCGACCCTCGGGCTGGGCGGCCCGCCTGGGATGGTGAGCGAGGGGAGGAGGAGAGGAGGAGAGGAGAGGAGGAGGAGGAGGAGGAGGAGGAGGAGGAGGAGGGGGAGGAGGAGGAGGAGGAGGGGGAGGAGGAGGAGGAGGAGGAGGTGGAGGAGGGGGAGGAGGGAGGAGGAGGAGGTGGAGAACGGGCGAGGGGGGGGGAGAGAGAGGGGGGCACTCGGCAGCTGCAGCAGCAGCCGGGCAGGGAAGCCGCTCGGCCCAGGCGGCGCTCGGCCATGCTGATAACGAACTCGGCCCTGCTTGGAGCAGGGGCCGACCGTCCCGGCATTCCTATCGGCATACCACGACGTGTTCTCAGAACCCCCCCAAAAAAGTTCTAAGAACAAGAGCAATGTGCTGAGAGCATGAGCCCGATGTGTTAAAACACGGCAGTCCCAGCCAGAAGTGCTCTAAGGAACAGTTCGTGGGGACCACAAGAGGTTCTTAGAACACGGCTTGGTGGGGCTATAGGCGAGCCGGGACGCTTCGCCACTGCTTGACCACTGCTGACCTCGGCCACGCCGAATGCGGCCAGGCTGACTGCGGCCCGGGCCTGGCTGAGCTCAGCCTTATGGCCGAGTCTCGCCCGTGCGGGCCCGGGCGAGAGAGGGGGGGGGGCGGGGCCGGGCACACGCGCGCGGCCCGAGGCACGCGCGCGGCCGAGGAGAGGGGGGCGGGGGGCAGGGGCTGCACCGAGGGAAGACGGGGCCACGAGATCTGGGAGACCTCGCGGGTTTGCGCCATTCCGACATGGTTTCGACGATTCGTCTTCGAACCCCCCGCGAACTGCCCAAACCAGACAGTACCGGGCAATCGGCCGCGGAAACGGGAATGACAAGCGGAAACTTAATACTCGCGGCCTCGGCCACGCGATCCACGCGTGCCCCCGGTCCTCGCCCGCGTCCCTCAAGAGCATGCGACCCTCCGCCGGCCAAACCGAAGAACGCTCGAGGGTACCCTCCCCCAGGATGCACACGAGCATCCAACAAGCAAGAAGAGCATCAGGGGAACTACCGTCCCCGAGCCGACCTCGACCTGATACCTCGGCCCGGCCGCAGGCGCCTGCGAACTCGGGCCCGCCCCCTCCAGCCGCAGAGCCCAGGGAGGAGCCAGCAGCGAGGCTGGCCCAAACCTCTCCCCCGCGTCGTGCATGCTGTAGCCATAGCCAACATCTCAGCATCCGGAAGCAGAGCTTTTTTATGCCGAAGTGGCTGCCAACTGTGTTCGCGCGTCCTCCTGCTCCTGATCGGCCTGTGCCCTCGGCGTCGACGTCGACCTTTTTGCCATC